GCGCGTGCGCGCGCGACACCTGGCGGAACGCGTCCTTCGTGACCAGGCTGTTTGCGGCGGCCATGATCGCGCGCTCGTACGCGCACGCGCCAAACAGGCCCAGCAGCGTCGGGCGGAACTCTCCAAAGGACTCCTGCCCGTGGCGTTCCAAGACCCTAGCAACGATGTCCATCAGGGGCACGTGGTCCGCCATGGCGGAGATCACCTCGTCGACCAGGGCGGTGTACAGGTCGCGTAGCGCGCGGCGCGCGAGCGCCGCAGCCGCCGAGCGCAGCGCGTCGGGCAGCGGGCGCCGCGGCGCGGGCGGGGCAGGGGCGGGATCCTCAGGGACAGCGGCGGCGGCGGCGGGCAGCGCGGACTGCAGGGCAGAGAGGGCCCACTCCAGCTCTGCGTCGGGCGCCGCCCACGCAGCTGGGCCCTGGTGATGCTGCGGTCGCGGCTGCTGCTGCTGCTGTCTCCGAAGCTGCTGATGGTGTCGCTGCTGCTGCTGCTCCTGCTGCTGCTGGCTCTTGCCCTGCGGCAAGGCGCCCTGCCCGCCCGCGTCGCCGCCGCCGACGCCGCCGCCCCTGTCAGGCCCCTCGGCCGCGCAGCCGCGGTCCCCGTCGCGCTGCAGCTTCAGGCGGCGCAGGCGCGATACGAAGGCGTCCAGCACCGCAAACCACGCCGCCTGCGCCGCGCCCAGCTCGCGCGCCTGGGCGTCGCCGCCAGTGTGGGTCGACCCCGCGGCTGCCGGGCCGCGCCCGGCTGCGTCCTTGCTGCTGCGTTTGCAGAAGTTCACGGCCGCCGCCGCCGCCCTCCAAGCCGCCGCGACGTCGGCCGGCACGCCCTCCTCCGCCGCCGCCGCCGCGCCGGCGGGGCCCGCGGCGCCGTTGGATCGCGAGCGGTGCAGGCGCGCCCTCGGAGACAGTTTGGCTATCCACTGCAGGTGCAGGTCGCCGCGGATGAGGTGAGACGCGGCCAGCGCCGCCGCAGCCTCGGGATCCTCCTCTTCGGCATCTGTTGCTGTCAATGCTGGTGATGCGGCCTCTGGCTTGGTGCCCTGCGCGGCCAAGCGTGCGTCGGCGTTGGCCGGCTGCTTTGCCCGTCGCCCCGGCAGCGCGGCCTTGCGGCGCTGCGCCGCAGTGAGCGCGGGCTGCTGCTGCTGCTGCTGCTGCTGAATCAGCTGCAGGGGTTTTGTCACCGGCGACAGCGCAATTGCTTGCTGCTGCTGCTGCTGCTGCTGCTGTGGTGGCAGCTGGGCTGACACACTGTTGGGCGCCGCTGCGGGCGAGGTCAGATGCCCCGCGCCTGGCAAGCCAAGCTCCCGTTGCAGCCACGCCACCAGCGCCAGCGCCGCGGCCCACTCCCCCGGCTGGCCCCCTTCCCCATCCACGTCCCCTCCGCCGCCCCTGGAGCCAGCGCCGCCGCCGCCGCCGCTGACGCCCAGCGGCCCAAGCCCGCCGCCGCCGCCTGCCGCCGCCGCGAGCGCCGCCGCAAGCGACGGCGGCAGCTCCGCCGCCGGCGCGCCGCCGCCTTGAACGGCGCGCTCCATGGCGTCGCTGCAGGCGGCCGCGGCTTCCAGGTACAGCTTCATGGCAGATGCCAGGTCCCCCAGCCGCTCGTGCAGGTACGCCTCGGCGTCCCCTACCCCCGCCGCTGCGCAGTGCCGGATGGCGGCGCGCACGTCGTACGACTGGGCGCCGCCCTGGAGGAACGGCAGAACCTCGGACGGCGCGAACTCGCAGAGCAGGCGGACGTACAGATCGACAACCTCGGGGGCGTCGAGCTGCTGCGCGCTGCCGCCCGTAGCCCCGGCGGCACCGCCGGGCTGCGACTGCCTCCGGCGCAGATCGCCGGCGCCCCCGCCGCTGGCGTCGCGGTCTGCGCGCGAGCCGGCGCCGCCCCTGAGCGCAGAGAGCGCGGCCCGCTCTTGCTCAGCGAACGCGGCGCGTAGGAACGCGAATTGGAGGCACGGCGCGCCCCCCAGCGCGCGCAGCATGGGCAGCTGCTCTCCAGGCAGCCACCGCGCCAGCAGCGCCGCGGCCGCGGCCGCGTCGGCGGCGACGAGCGCGGCCGCGTGGCCGCGCAGGGCGGTCGTGAAAGCGGCGCGCGCCGGCGGCGGCAGGGTCGAGTCTGAGAGCCAGCGGCTGGCGTAGTCGAAGAGGCCGGCGGCGGCGGGGCGGCGGAGGTAGGCGGCGAGGGCGGAAGCGTAGTCGCCGCGGAGGTGGTGCAGCGTCGCGGCGGCGCGCAGCATGCCGGCGCGCTCCGCGGCGTCGAGGACGGCGTCGGATTGCTGGAAGGCGGGGGGCCGAAGGGGGGTGAGAGGGTGGGCGGGTGATGCAGATGCAGAGGGGAGAGGCGCGGCAGGTGGCACTGTTGCAACCTCGAGGCGCGGGGTGCCCCACCCACCGTCCTGGACCGGGGCGAAGGCAGCGTGCTCGGCCGTCCGATGCCCCGCTGCACGCATGCGCCCGTCCCTTGAGCACGCCGCATCGCTGTGCCCACAACGTCTTCGAAACCAGCCCGCGCTTCTGCAACCGCGGCGTCGCAACCCCTGCACGACAGCTCCCTGTCTCCACACGCTCCCCAGAAAACCAAGCAGCCGCGATGTTTGCCGTCAAACATGCTCTGGCAGCTTCACCTGCAGATCAAGCTTCTCCTGGTCAAACCTCTCCCCCGGCGCGTTGACCCCCACATTCTGCAGCGCCGCCACAAAGCGCTCCTCCGCCTCAACCGCGCCGCCGGCGCCCGTCGCCGCGCCGGACGACGCGAGGTGGCGCAGCAGGCGCGCCGCGAAGGCGGGGCTGACGGTGACGCGGCCGGCGGCGGCGAGGCGGGCGGCAAAGTCCATTGCCACCGCGGCGCCGCTGCCGCCAACGCCTTTGCCGCCATCGCCGCCGTCGTCTGGGGACCCCTGCAGGCTGCCTGCCTCCAGCAGGGCCACAATAGCATCCACCACCACCTGTGGTTTGAGGGGGTCAACGTATAGGTCGCCGCGAACCAAGACACAGCATTCAAATCTCCTAACTCCGTCCCAGCCATGGCGGCCAGCGCGACTCCTCAGGCAAAACCACCCCTTGGCACGCCACTCGTGCCGTCCAGGCTGGGAACTGGCCGCGGCCCGGCTGCGGCGAGACGCGGCCTATCGCGCACCTGCGTCGCGACTCGCACCCTCCCCAGCTGCTCCGCCGGCTTCCCGGCAGCTGCCCGCAGGTCCGTCTCCACCGCGTCCCACCCCCGCGTCGCCTCTGCGAGCACCGCCACCGCCGCCGGCGCGTCCAGCGATAGCAGCAGCTGCAGCGCCGGGTGCGGGTCTCGCAGCGCCGCCGCGGCCGCGGCAGCAGCTGCAACGGACGCGTTCGAATGGGGCGGTGAGCCAGAGCCCGGGCTGCGGGAGGGGCCCACCAGGAGCTCCGCGGCCTGCGCGGCGGCGCTGCCGGGGGCGGCGCGGCGCCATTCGGCCAGCAGGTCCCCCGAGTCGAGGAACAGCAGGCAGCCGAGGAGGGTCGATTTGACGCCGTCGAGGACGGCGGCGTTGCTGCGACGAGGGGAGGGTTGCGGGGTAATGGGGTGGTGGGGTTGAATGGGGC